AGGCACTGTTCCTCCTATACTGGGATGGGGTGGAGGAGATGGTGTGCCAGGGAGTGGTGGTGGGGCAGGCACTGTTCCTCCTATACCGGGAGGGGTTGGGGGAGATGGTATGCCAGGGGGTGGTGGTGGGACAGGCACTGCTCCTCCTATACCGGGAGGGGGTGGAGGAGATGGAATGCCAACAGCCAATGGAGCAGACAGATCTCCCAGAGGAGGAGGAGGGGGAGGAACAATGACATCGTCATCAGGAGGCAGAAATGGACCTGCAGGTGGGAAGGGTATAGAGGGGGGTGGGGGCAGTCCTTGCTCTGAGTAAGGGACAGAGGGGGCCATTGGTGGGGATACAGGAGGTTTAGAAGGTGGTCTTCTCTTTGACGCCCCTCCACCCTGCATCTTCTGCCGCAAGCTTCCCTTGTTTTCTGCTATTTGCTGTTGTGGCTTTAGTTCACAGCTTGGATGGCGTTGTTTTTCTGAGTGTTCACTTGTGGTGACACCATGCCCTGCAATAACATCAGAGGTGTTAGTAACAATAACCATAAATGCACAATGAATCTTCACTCTAGTATAAACGGAACTACAAGCATAGTTTACATTTTCCTACATGGTGAAAATGCTACCTTAAATGCCATAGTGTGCAATGTAACAAGAATTTGTTAACAACAACAACTAGAAGTAAATTTTTATTTGATTCTCAAGGATTGTTTTTCTGTTTTTCTTAGGTGTGTGAATTAGGTAGATGTATGCGTAACAAATTTAGACGATAACATTTTGAAAACAAGCCTGCATAGTAATACTTAGTAGCTAACATGCTTGCAATCTGCTTTGCAGCTGTAATTCACCCTTCCAGTACTCAGTCACATGGTTAAGTCAATCATCAACCAAAATGACGTCAGAGAGAGTCTATTTTGTACTGTGAGGTTTTATGGTGGCTCATTAAAATTTGAAAAAAGTTAAAATTTGTAGTCTGGATGGCAGTGAGTGTCCAAAGAGAGAGTTTCTTTTGTTCAGGTTAGTTATAAAAAAGAAATAAAATACCCAAATGATCCAATGCTGAGGGATCAATTGCTCTTCTGCTGTATCTTGCTGCCTTCTCTTGTTCAGGTGGAGCCATGATTTTAAGTCTGTGTCCAGTTGGTTTACTGGAAGCCAAGGTGCCTATTCCTCGACGAGCCACTTTTTCTTTGTGGATGTCAACAGTCTATTTACAGATTTTAAAAAAAAATTAACAGTAATAAAAACAATAACATTGTCTTAAAGAATAATATTATTACCGATTGTAAGACTTAAAAGATTTAGATCTTCCATCAGATCTTTCACATAACAGACCTCAAAAGTCCTATACATATCAGAGCAATTTTCAGTTTGAAATTAAATTGTAAACTGAAACAGATCTAGATATTCCATCTTTTAAAAAGGTTCATATTACAACAAAAATTAATTTATTATTAAAATTCACATCATATAAACCAAATATTACACAGCTGTTGGTACTGCATGTAACAATGCTTCTTTATTAAAAACAATTCTTGCTTTTCGCCTGCAATTTTGTGTTTCGTTTGGCTAGTAAGCAAGTTTGCATGTATTCAGTTTTACTATAAAGTTACGAATAGTACAACTATTTTGTGTTTAGATTGAAGATAATCAAAATATATCACAGCACTTGATACACCAGCTTGTTGTATACTTCAGTGCTTGTATGTCATTTATTTTCTTTGTAAAATGCATCTTCTTTCACAGATTATGTTTGAGCCAACACTTTTTAATTCATTTCACATTTTTCAATTCAAGTGTAAAACCAAGAAATCATACCCATGACATTGTTTGGGCTACCTTGTGTTACATGTAAGGTCTGTTATCATGTTAGCATAGAGTTAATTTACTTTGATCTTGTTCCTGCATTTAATCCTTAGTTTTACTTTCAATTGAAAACTTATATGAAACAGTCATCAGTGTTTCAACGTGAAGCAATAATATACAATTCAGGGTTGGTGTCCGAGGCCATCTGTCCACTTTAATACGTCTGTGACAGACTTCTTTAAAGATCGAAACCGGTCACAATGGATGCTAATATATAGATTTAGGCCAGCCTAAAAGCGTAGCTCCTGGGCCGGGTTGTTCAGAGTCAAATAACCCATGAAAAGGTAGAATTTTGAGTTGAGTTTTGTAACTTTGTGGCGAGGTTTTCTGTATATTGTTTGGCCTTCTGTTTTGAGTTTTAATAATCATTATATACACAAAACAAAGCAACCTAAAACATTTGTATAGAAGAAAAAGTTATAATTCGGTTAACTTTTAATCCTAGGTTAGTGTAAACCGGTTTCCGAACAATCGTGCCCTGTTTTCAACAAGTTAACCTGAGATGAGCCCGCGATCCAATTGAAAACCAGCTGTAAACTTGAGCCCGCGATATGGTCACGTAATACTGGTCAGCGGATACCTTGTTTTGACAGGTGTC